TGGTTATTACCAATTGCTCATACGAGCGAGTGATATTTCACTTACAGCGGTGAATACTCCGAGCGGCATGCTCTGGGAGTGGCAGGTGATGCCCCAAGGGCTGTCAAATGCACCAGCAATATTTAATCGTCTTGTCACGCGATTTTTCATGCCCCACCGGGCGTATGCACAGACGTACTTCGACGACATCTTCGTCAACGGTCGTTCGGAGCACGGCTGTAGAAAGAGTTTTTTCTTAAATATTTTTCGAGTATATGCGCATGAATAAGCTGTTGTTTATGCAGATGAGTGCATCTTCGGCGCATACGAAATCCCCTTTCCTGGATGCTTGATTGGGAAGCTTGGCCTTCGAGCGGATCCCGCTAAGGTTAAGGCCACTGAGAACTGGCTGGCTCCAAAGAATCAAAAGGACTTGCTCAAGCGGCTTGGCCAAGTCAACTATAGCGCGAATTATCCGAAATTGTCGAACGTCCGTAAGAAGGATACGGAATGGTATTGGGATACCGAACATCAGGAGATTTTTGAAAGGGTCAAACCCAGCCTCCTTCATGCACCAATACTGGCGTTGTCAGACCCCGATCGTCCTTTTAGTGGCTTCTGTGACGCTTCGTTCTTGCCATCGGCTGTGCACTGCTGCAAGCAGACGCCGAGGGGCGAAGTCGGGTGATAGCGTTCGACGTTCGCCAACTTTAGGCTGCGGAAAGTAGCTACCCGGTCCACGACAAGAAAGTACTTGTGATGAAGTATGCACTCGTCAAGTTCAGGGAGCACCTGCTTGGTCTAAAGCCGTTTGTGACCTATACAGATCATTGTTTATTATGCACTGCGACTTAGCCGCCTCACTTCTCGGAGAGGATGGCCAGGTAGCTCCCATTCTCTGTAGAATAAAACTTCAAGGTGAAGTTTTATCCAATAAAGTAGAAAGCTTTGGCTGATGCGTTGTCACGCAGATCGGACTATGAGCTTGCTCATATCATGACGGTGATCTCGTCACTGACGGATTTGATCCCCGCCGAATACGCGGGTTATAGTGTGTGTGTAGCGCTGCTACAGGCTTTGGGGGTAAGAATATTCGTTGAATACCGGATTGCTGTATTATAGCACCGACTCCACGGATGCGACACGAATTGGGGTTCCTCACGATTAAGACTTGAGGTACCGTATCCTCGATGTGGCACACGACACCCCACTCAGTGGTCATCTCGGTCGTGAGAAGACGTACAGCTCAATGAGTTGCCCTACTGTTAGCCCAAGCTGTACAAATAGACGAGCACATATGTGCACACGTGTGAGTCGTGCCAAAGACTGACACCCTCTCCGATTGCGGCGGCGCCCTTGGTTAGTATGCCGGTATTCTCCGGGAGTTGGCTGTTGGACTTTGTGTTTGTTCTGCCGAAGGACTCGGCGGGCGACACGGGTGTCGTGGTTTTCGTCGGTCGATTGAACAAGATGCTTCATTTTGTAGTGGTGTTAGAAACCATCGACGGTGTCAGAGACCATTGACGTTGTCGGTACAGCGACGCTACATGGACTCCCGTAGTATTTTGTCTCTGAGAGAGACCCACGCTTCAATGGGAAGTTTTGGTCGACGATTTCTAGGTGCTGAGCACGAAGCTAAATTAGCCAACAACGGACCATCTGCAGACCTATGGTCAAACTGAGCGCGCAAATTGCGTCATCGAAGACGCCCTACGCAGCGTCTGCGCTGAGATTTCGAAGCATGGAGCGCCATGCTGCTACTTGTGGAGTTTGCTCTGAACAATCCAGTGCATACATCTACCGGATACACGCCATTCTACGTGAACGGGCCCATTCATCCTCGCGTTCTGCTGACGGCGCCATTCCACGGCTCAAAGCTCGGTGGAGGAGGAATAGGCGAGCGGCTAGCTGATGTCAGCCCCCATTTTTGTCTGAAAAAAAGTCGAAGACTTCCTGTTTACCAGACTGAGTGTATCCGACACGTTCGCGATGCGATGGCTGAAAGCCAAGACATGCAGAAAGAACATGCAGACGGAAAAGGCAAGAGAAATGCTGAAACATTGAGGTCGGACACCTGGTTTTATTTTATGCTAGAAAACCTTCCTGCACATGCAGCTTCTGCTGTCTTCAAGACAAAGCTCCGTCCAAGGTTAATCGAACCTTTAATGTTGTGACCAAGCGAGACCTTAAGTATACGCTTAACCTACCGAGAAGGATGCGCACCCATCCGGTGTTGTTATGTGGGCTTGCTCAACCGAATCGGGATTCGGCGCAAGCGAATGCTGAAGCGTTGGCGCAGGGGCGGCGCTCACAAGCGCTCGACCACCCAGAAGCTGAGCCAGCATATGGTTTGAGTACGGAGTGCAATGGTTTCCGTTTTCAACGGCGCAAGACACTCAACCGTCGCATGAAGCGACGCATTCGTCTGCTCGACGGTTAGGAGCCGCTTTGACGGAGCGCGTTAGTTCATAAAATGAGGCAGTCCATGCACAAATTGCTTTGAGCTCTCGAGGTCTTTTCATAGCGAAATCGACCTCGATAAATTTTCGACAGAGTGCCGATGACGACAGAGTTTGTCCTCCGAAGCTCTAAACACATCGCGAGTCACCGGACGGCGTTCGACCAAGTCGTCATCGTCTGCCTCCGACTCGTCTCGATGAGAATGGTGGAGTCCACTATCACGTGGAGCGTCTTGTAAGTCGACGGCGTCGACAAAGTCAAGCCCAATATCTTGTAAAGTGGTGGGGAAATCCAAACTTTGATAATTTGTGGGACTTTGAGCTGCCACTTTGGCAAGACTGCCCAGACGTTGTGGACGCTTATGATCAGGAGGATCATGACGCTCCGTTTCGTCGTACGTCCCGTGCTTCTCGACAATAGCCGGGGAAGCCGAAGGACCATGAGCTGAGCTCAAACTATGGCCTTGAGCTGCTGGGATCGTAGACTCGCCAGTATGAGAGACGTCGGAGCTCGCAGGAGCGCGATGGATTATTCTATACGTCGCACGGCGACATTACTCAGGAAGTCCGCATTGCGCCCTGAGTTTGGCAAACTCAAATCTTAGATGGCGTCCTACGCGCACATTCACTTTCTTTTGGCTCCACTGTTTATTAGACAGCAAAAAAAGTTTTCGTTCCTGCTGCACCCATCGCTCAAAGAGCTCATCTTCATCTGCAGCGAGTTTGCCATGGTCGAGTACCACAGTAACATCCGCATTGTGAGTACCGGAGAGCCTCCTCTTTGCGAAGTCGAGTGCGGTACCTATCCATTGGGATTTTTGGGAACTCAGAAGTGAGCTCGGAGAGCTTTTCGTTGGTCAGGCTCAGGTGGTGTAGTGACCGAGGGTCCGATAAGTTCACACCCAACGATCGATTGATCGCGTCTTTTGCTTGAGTAGCGGTATCCGGGCTCCAATTGTTGCTCCTGTGCCTCGTCAAGGCGATTGGTCATAATACCACTACCCCCGAAAGTTAAGAGGTCGAGAAACGGACATGGTGTCCGCAAGGTTCGAGAAGGGCACACGTCGCGCCGTTGGCGCACTTCATCTTCCTCGTCATACCATGCTGGGAAGGGTGTCTCCGACTCATAGTCGACCTCCTCCGAATTCTCGACAAGGAAAGCGGACGCCCGTGGCATGCGCGGTGTGCAGCGCTGGGTTGCCAATGGCTTGGGATGTGCTTCCCGTGAAGCCGCGGACGTACTGTCCGGAGTTGCACCGCGTGTAGGAGGTGAATAAGGGCTCTGCCCTCGGGCGAACTCGGAACCAGCGAGGCTGAGTGTCTTTGGTGTCATAGACACAGGGCTCATTGAGCAGAAAATGCGTGAAGAAGGTCCTGAGGATGTAAAGGTGTCTAAGACACGCGAGCTTCGTACGAGGCGACAATCACATTTGAATTGTGGGTATCTTAATTTTGATGGGGGAGAGTGTAACAGAATAACAGGCACCTTAGGATGAAAGGGTGTGTCACACAAGATGATGTGACCACATAATGGTATGGCTACACCTTAACAAGAAGCTACTCCATGGCGAGACTGCCAGTATTCGTGCATTTTGATTAGGTTTAACTATTTAATTAGGAAAACTTATAAATTTAGATATAGGCGACTCTGCCGTGAATAAAACAAAAGAAATACAGTTTGGATTCTGAGCGGAATAGTGTATTTGGCTAGGGTCAAGGTTTTGGGTACTCTTGGAGCTAGCGGAATGCGATCCGCTACACTTATACTAGCTCTAGTATAGAATGTAAGGTCGGTGACCATAGCTTTGCCCCCTCCGCGGCAGTGTGTTGCCCCAATGGAGCACGCTTAGTGCTGAACATACGCCCAGGCAAATTAGTCCGAATGACTCACGTCATGCGCTTGTAACATATAAACATATTCATTATTGCGTGAGGCTAGCAGCCCACAAATGCGCCGGACTTCACTTTGGCAGCACCATTCATCCCATAAACGGTTCGTGGTAATTCATTTAGTTGCAAAAAGATAACCGTGCATTTTGCACAGAAGAAGCTTTGACTCATTGAGTTCGTTTATACAACGTACATAGGTTGCGTTCATTCGCTTCGCGACAGAGCGTGACCGAGGCCTCTCAATTTAAATGACTTCATTTCCTTTTCAAGATACATATAACAGATCTGAATATATGCGTTTCACTACCACTCAGGGTTACTACTTCCGAGCTCCAACAGACACTAGTGTACACCATAACAGGGGTTACTTTTTTAGAGGGTTCAATATATTGACATCAAACGATCGCTTATAGGGACATTGATAAGTTACCTTGACGAAAGCAGTTTCATCTCTTATTGCGATCTTCAATTATTGATGTGTAACATATCAGCCAATCGAATTGTATTGTACAATAGTTTGTGACACCATGGAAGAAAACTGGCTGCAGGTATCTCGACGGCGGCGTGGAAAAAATCTTAGATCACAAGACGACCTGTGGAAAAATTTAGATATTGGTAAGACTTGTGTGAAACAGTATCGTCAATTTAAAAGCTTTGCACTCATGTTCCCGCGAATGTAAGTCCATTTAAGCATAAAATGCTGATATTTTGTGTGTTTGTATAGAGGAAGAAAAGGGTGAGCCTGTACCTGATGTCTCCGCTCGTAAACAGATGCAAATAATCGATCGAGTTCACGGCATCGCTGATATTTTGCGCAAGTCCGTGCTACTAAAAGATGCACAAAGTGTAATTATGAAGCACTTTGACATGAAATCTGAAGAGACTTCAGTCAAAAATGAAGAAAACCAAGCTGACTCAACAGAGAAGACACACAGTGGGCTGACCATCGTAGGATACGGCCTTGGAAGCTTTTGCGCGTCGATAAATGCTGTACATCAGTTGGCCTTTCTTGTCGTCATGAGAGAAGCGTTTATGAAAATAGAGGCAACTTGGGATAGTCATGCAGTAGGGAGCTTGAAAAGTCGTCACATTTGTGTTGAAATTTATGATCCTGCCATGAACAAGGTCAGCGTAGATGCTTAATAACCTGCTTTGTATCTCTCTCATTTGCTCTCTTGTCATATGTGTTGAATTTACTTCAGAGCGACGTTGCAATTGCAAATTACTTTCAACTAGAAGTAATTCAAAAGAACGAGCATGGGCGTCGGCTTGTAAAGTCCAACACGGTATTCTTTATGCCACATTGTAGCAAGACGTTATATCAGAACGTCTTGGCTTGCAATTGGGGTCCTGCGATTGGAAAACTCGTCATTATCGGCAACAGGTATATACAAAGACTCATCCTTTTTCTTATGAGCATAGATGACTAATGTATATGACTAGTTTTTCAGCGTACAGAGATCGCACGCTTGTAACTAAAGAGCGTGAGAAGCTGCTTTTCGTCAGAGTGCTGCCGTATTTGAAAGAGATTCAATTATCTTGCGGTGTCGCCAAAAGCCACAAGGAGTATAGAACCTATGAGGCGGCATTCAATGACCTTAGCGTGCATATATTTCCTTCCCAGTTGCTTACCCGTGGTCTTAAAGACGACACTCTTTTGGGTAACAAAATGGGAGCTGTAGCTACTACGCCAGAATTTTGTACTACTATATCTTAAAGTGTTGAGCATAAGTTATAGAAACCATATCATTCTTATTCTAGCGGTCAAGAAAGAGTCACTTCGAATGGTAGTGACGTGCGAAACTCCGATAACCGCAGACCAAATCCTTGATAACGGATTATTGTGACTACTCACATACACTACCATATTTGTAGCATCGCACATTTCAACCCCAGACCTTCATTTCATGCATCTTGTCTAGATATATAAAGACACAAAAGCGGGCGAGTCGTCCGTTTCCATCACGTGCACGTTTCTCCTTCCAGGTTCGTTTTGTTGCTTTAGTAGCCTTTTATTCGTCTCTTTGTTCAATGGCTTTTGCAAGGTGCATAGGAGGTGAGCCAGATCCTTTGTGCTGTGCGACAGTGACCCGTGACATTCCCTCTCGTAGCATGAAGGTGCGTCATCTCTTAGGTTGGTCACGCCCTACGGATATGGCCATGAGCAGTTTTCAAACGAGCAAGATAAGTAAGATGTCAAGCTCTAGCAACAACAAAGAGCACAATGTTGATGAGTTTGGATACACATCTTTTAAAGAGGTTGACTCACTGTCGATAAACGGACTCCTTTCACCCGAATCAGTCGCTGCTCGAAGTCGAAATAACAACTCACAGGATATGGAATTCTCGCACAATGTAAGATATGACAATGAACATTATCTTGAACAATACTAATCGCTTGTTTTTTCTGAAGCTCAAAAGTGATGAAAACAAGCCTGAGAATGCCGTGGACAAGGTACTGACAGCAGCTCCTGTCAGTAGAGAAAAGCGGACGCCTTCTGCAGCTCATTGCAGCAACAATAATAACTCATCAACATCAGCCTATACGTCTCAATTCCGGGTTGCCATACCCACAAATTTCGATAAAACGCCAACGGCGTCTCCTCCAAAAGTAACATTTCGTAAAGGTGAAAAAAGTTTCCTTGATTTTCATCAGCATTATGCGATCACAAGACATTTGGGCGAAGGTTCGTACTCGACTGTAAAACAGGTGACGCATCGTAAGAAAGGAGGCTTTTACGCATGCAAAATTGTTGATAAATTAAGTCTTTCAGATGTCGATCGTGCCGCGTTATCACACGAGGTTCGCGTCCTCTCCAGTGTCAACCACGTCAATATTATGCGCTTGTACGAAGTCATTGAAGACGATGCAAAGTGTTATTTAGTCACAGAGCTAGCAGAAGGAGGAGATTTGTTTGATCGTATTGTCAAACATGGTAAATTTTCTGAACGAGAGGCGCAGAAGGTCATGGCAGCACTTGTGGAAGCGTTATACTATTGTCATTTACACAATATCATTCACCGTGACGTCAAACCTGAAAATGTGCTGCTTTCAGGCGATGACGTAAAATTGTGCGACTTTGGCTTTGCTAGACAACTCAATCATCAAGATGATCAGGCTTCGGACTCATGTGGTACACCAGGCTATGCTGCGCCAGAGATTTTAGATGGAAGATCTTATGGTCTCGAAGTCGACGTTTTCTCACTAGGTGTTGTGACTTACATAATGTTGTGCGGATATCCTCCGTTTCCGATGAAACTCGCTCAACTTCGTACACATCGTTTTAATGTGCGTTACCCGTCGAAAGATTGGGCTGCTATTCACCCCGATGTCAAGACTCTGATCTCGCACATGCTCCACGTGGATCCAAAAGAGAGACCGACAATGGCAGTTCTTCGAACAAATCCGTGGGTTAAAGCTGGTCGGATTACTCTTGAGCGTCTACGCCGGGAAAATGAAGAACGTCAGCGTCTAGCCGACCTCACCCGACGACAACAAGCCGCGTCGGCTATTCGCAAAAAGCTTGTCATGGGTGGCTTTGAAGCTATTAAGTATGGACGCAACGGGTTACCTCATCGCACAAAGTTGCGCTTGTCAACGGATGGGAAAGTCATGAGCTGGCAGCCCAAGTTACTGAAGCGGAGCTTGCTACGCTACCAGAACGCACGCACTTTTACAAGTTTATTTGGCATAAGTGGCAAAAACAATACTGAGGAAAAAAACTCATCAGCTTTACAGGACGAGGGTTCTAAGTCTGAAACGCGGCGACCAGCAGTAGGTACGTCTTATAAAGACGAGTCTGCCGACGCTTGTTCCACGGTCAATAATGTTGACGGCGCAGGAAGTACTACCGACGCTATTAACGAAAAGCGATTTTGGTGGCGCTCGCTACATCGAGAGCGTAGTTCAAAGACTGAGCGAACGGCCAGCGGCGGATTTACGCGTCCAACTACTACTCGACAGACTGCTAGCACTCCGTCATCGCCAATAACGCCACCCATAGTCAAAGTGTTGCGTTTTCCAACCCCCAATGTAACATTGGAGCATACAGAGTCTCCATACGCGACATCATCAGATCGATTGGATGATTCAATTAAGCTGCATGACATAAGAGAGTTATTGCCAGGTGATCGCGCGATATTCTTTGCAGGACACGCGATGAACTTGCCAAATTCGTCGAAACGTGCGGTGGATCCGGCTTGTGTATTGTCTGTCTGCACACGCTATCGGGAGCTTCACTTGGAATTCTCAAATGAAGGAGTTCGCGACGGATTCATGTATTTATTACAACAAGCAACATTGCCCTTGCACCAATGTGCTTTGACTCAATCGCATTTGATGATGGCGACGGCAACGCCTCCACCGGTACCGCTCTCCTTATCGAGTAGACAACGTGGAGCAATGACGCCATTAGAGGAAGAAATAAATCGAAGCAGTGGACCTGAAGTTGATGAAGATATTGATGAGGCTAGAGCGAAGGAAGCGATGGCAGCAAGACCCAATAATCAGGCTGAATAAACCTGCTCTTAATTTAATCTTGCGCAGGAGCAAGAGGTAATTGCAATGCTTGCAATTCACCATAATCCAAAATACTACTGTTCGAATACACAAGTTTAATTTTTAGAGACTTGGTGCCTTCTTGAGGGCGAAAACGAATCTTTTCCTTTTTCGGAGTCCAAAAAGGCGCTTGAGCCTTCGTGTTGTTGAGACTTCACGTCGGCGATTCTGTGCTGCTCTATTGGTTTGTCTTGTGTCAAGGGCAATCGATAAATTGACTTTTGACGCGCGAGTACGACTCTGCGATTAAACACTGACGAGCATGCGAGAAAGACCGAGATGGCACCCACAAAAAGCAAGTATGTCCGACGCGAGACGAGCTGGGATGCATGAGCCTTGATCATAAAAATTAGCGCAAGCTCACCGATTTGACAGAGTCCAACAGCAGCCATTAGTGCCTTGCGAGGACTTATTCGAAAAAAAGTCATGACCACAGTCATGGACATTGTCTTGATACCCACAATCATGAGGACCATTGACAGAATCTCACCCGCATTGCGAATTAAAAACATTGGATGCAAAATCATACCCACACAAGCGAAAAACATGCTGCCAAACAAATTTTCCATCACACGAATCGACATAAAAGCAGCTTTGGCATTGCTGGAAACGTGCACAAAGGCCAATCCGGCCAAAAAAGCGCCGCATTCGAGGGATAATCCGATCATTTCGGAGAAAAGAGCCATGAAGAGGCATACGGACACAACACCTAAAAGCAGGAGTGGGGCGTTATGCACTTCTTCCATAGCCGTCAAAAAACGCAACAGTCTTGGAACAACGTGTTGGTGCAAACATAACGTCAAACCAACAACCATAGCGTACGCCACGACCGTACGCACCATAGCAACTCCAATACTTCCAACAGATCGCACAGAAAACCACTCCGGAGTGCCAAGTGCAAAGCTCATAAGTAGATCTTGAATTGCAATGATTGAGGTCACTGTCTACAATACACGTACATTTTTAATAATTAGTTATTGCGAAAAGTCATCCGGAAATACCGTGGTCACAATGAGCAACACAAAGATGTGAAATAAGTAACTAACCCGTCCAAAAGAAGAGTCCTGGATCCGATGTTCCCGGATGTGCTCGTAAAGCGGTGCAGTAGTCGAAAAACACACACCGAGGCCAATACTAAGTCCTTCAACGAAAGATCGTGTCCATCCGGTATAAACTGCTACACATGCAACAAGCAGCACAGTCGACATAATGTACGCTATTCCACCGACAAAATACTTCCGTAATATATTTTCGGGCTGTTGTGGTGAATACGAAGCTCCATGGCCAAACAGCAGAAACACAGAGCCAAAAAGCGAAATTGTTTCGACTTCCTTGTACAATCTCACGACACCCAAACACGACGGTCCGACCAAAGCTCCTCCAAGCACATAACCGGCATGAGGAGGAATATTACAATATGTCGCAATAATTCCTCCAATAGCCGATATCCCAAGCAAAACTGCCACTTGCGCCAAAAGCTCCATATCATAGTGCAATACTGCTGGATCTGCCTTCTTCTCCGCTGCTTCCAGTTTTTTTAATTGTTTTGCATTCAATCCCATGGTATTTTTCAAATGTCCTGTTTCATAGTCCACTTCTTTAAATCCGTCTTTTTCCAGCTTTTGCTCTCGCTTCTCATCTTCCTGATTTGCAAGCACTTCTTTTAGTTTTTTGGACTGCAATTCTTCCTCCTGCTCAACGTGTTCAAGCTCTAGTAGCGTTCCATTGAGTCCTAAAGCGAGTCTCTCGAGATTTCTTTGTATTGAAAGTAATTCATTTCTTACGTTTTGCCGCTCTAAAATCTGAGCTTGAGTATATTTAGCAAATTGACCGCCTGCGTCCATATACTGCAGACTTTTGTTCACAGAGAGCTCAAGCTGACGGACAATGTGAAGATGTTCCTCGACCTGCTCGATAGACACGTCGGCTGCAGTAATTTCTACATCAAACTCGCCTTGAGAACCATGAGCACTACCGATAAAGCTTGAAGAAGACACTGAAAGCGCAGGTTCAAGCTCGAGAACCGTGTTCAAGGACTCGGAAGTCGTTTCTGGTGGCAAACTGGGTGCTAGAGTCACTGAAGGCTGGTTTTCATACTCTTGAGGTACGTCAGTAAGAGCAACAGCTTCAAAGTGTGGGATGATGAGGAGTCCAAGCACCAGCAGCATCAATGACGTCAGCATTCTGCCATTTTGAGAGCGCAACATTGAGACTTTTTGCCAGAATAATTGTGATGCTGCAGTTTTTAATATAGAATAACTAAATTTATTTAGAACTCTTTTAGATTTCAATGGATCTCGTTCAAAATTTAAGCTGGAATTGGAGAAGAGAGAGAATCACTCCGAATGTCTTTGATACTTTACACATGGTGAGAAACTTCTGCTTCTATTCTACTCGTTGCAGCGAAATGTCGGCGTGATTCTTGTTCTCCGTCCTTCGGCGTGCACACGTTCAGTAGGAATTGATTGGTGCTTATTTTTGAGTTCTTTAATGCTAGTGGCTTAAAAAATGATTCAGGCATGCAATTGTTGTTCGCTGTTAGATCATATTCAGTTTTAAGACATACATATGTTGTTTCATCAGTTTATTGTTCAACAATTATAAGCGGATGAAAATCGACTTTCGGTACACATATATGAAGCGACATGAAAGCTTTAAGCATACAAACTAGATACTAGATGACAACAATTTCGATCATACTTTCTTGCTCAAACTGAGATTAATAGTATAGTCAAAGAACCTGACAAATTCTAAAGGTGAGTGGAATCAGATACGCCATCGGGGGCCATAGGGAACATTGTAAATTGGATACGCTGTTAGACCGCGAACATCTCTTCGATACTGAAGCTTACTTTTCTTCTCATTGGTGAGCAGAACGCTGATGATAGATATAATAGTGTTGGTCTAATGGTGTATAATGTCGTTATAATGTCGTATGACTTTCACAATGAGAGTTATTCCATGGATTGAAGCAGAACATGTCGACTAAAAAAGCACTTTAGGTATCGAAATTACAATACGATTAAAATTACAGCTAAGGATCTAGATAGCGGTACACAGGCTTTGATGTGTGTATTTGCTGTACGCCATTTGAATTAGATTCACCTAACAATGGGTGCACCAGTGACCCTAAATTGTTGTCCGATCCCATTTCGGAGCCTGTTGTCTGCAATTCTTGAGATGCTGCCTCCTGTGGCCACCAGTATGCGTCAAAACACCCTGAAGCAACGCCTACAAAGAGAAGTAATACAAAGAAGAACCACCAGGTTGCTCGAAGTCCTGCTGGGTCATTTGAACAGATCTTAGATCCGCTGGAATTGATCCAGCACTCAGAAGCTAGCACTCGACTCTGACACCACGTAGTAAATGGAACCACCACGAAAATGATGTTGATACAAGTAAAGAGCCGCATCACGAGAAGTTTGCTCACGGTATTTTCTGCACCATATAGCTTTCTTAATCAAATCCGACGCGACCTTTCGTAAGATATTACACGCTACTCATACAATGTCTTTGACGATGGAGGAAGTTACAAGTCCAGTGAAAGAACTCTATTCTTACCAGATTTTATGGAAACTATATTAACTGGTTCATTGCGATACCCGTAAGAGGAGTAGTAACAGATAAACGATTCTTATACTGTTCATGGTTTTTAAACGAGTGTAATGTCAGGTGAGCGCTAAATGTTGGAATAATCACATTGTCACCGCAAACTTTATACAACTTACTATTATCGCTCATTCATCGGTAATGTGATTCCACAAAAGCACCCAATAATGAAGATTATCAACTGATGCGAATTTGCAGACCATTTAAAACACACCACCTCTCATAAGACTGCTGGTTGGGATAGAATGATTGATTTCGTTTTTCTTTCATCCACCAATAATTCTTGTAAAGGTACTCCAGAGTCGATTTGAATTTAAGAGCTAGCTGTATCGAGACGGCATTCAACTCCTTCAGCTTCATAAATAACAGCAAAGTGCAATCACTTATCAAATCAATTCGAACTAAATGTTAGATATCGTCGAAAAAGGGATTCAGTTGAGATGTTGCCAATAGCATTGCATTGTTCAGGTCTAGACTTCGCTTAAGTATGCGATAAAATTCCCGTAAAGACTTTCTCAATTTAATGCTCGTTTATCAATCACAATTACGTCGCTTCGGACTGTATGATGGATGATCTATCTCTTCATTTCCTCTTCGTAGAAAAATTGAATCTCCAAAAAAACATCAAGCGAATTAATGATATCACAGTGTAATTGCGAGAGCTGTTGGGGATTCCAGTCTTAGGAGCCTATGCAGCTTGGCGGGAGTGGAAGTTAGCTAGCTCACTGCCAGTCAATTTGTGCTGGGGTAAAAGATGCGAAAAAAGAAACGTATTGGTGTGATCGGGTGTGTTGTGGAGTATGTATCGGCGACGAATTTGGGTACTTAACCCATTGACTTTGTACTTTACCACTTGTGTCACCTTTTCGAAGCAACACTTTTTGCATCACATCTAGCATGTCTATCTAAGGCGCAGCTAACAAATCACGTAAACCTCGGGCCCTCTTTTCGGAGTTTTATAATCTTCATAAATACTGACATTTGGTAAATTGAATTTTCACGATCAATATAAGTGTAACATAAATCTTGTACGACTGTACCGTTTTGTAATTGATGCGTAACATCAAACGTATAAGACTTAGATATTTCAGTACTTGCCCCACTCTATGAAGAAGGAATCGAAAGCCTCTAGTGTAACGAGCTGCCTATGTTGCTTGCTAGATATCTATAAAGATTTTAAAAAAGTTTTTTACTAACACTTTTTCGGTTTTCTATTTTCAAACATAAAACTATATACATTGCACAACGTCAGACTCCACGCAACTCAATTGCCATGCACCGGACACAGAAAGCTCCGGCTGAAAGATTCCGCATGGGTCCACTCACAAAAAAATGATTTCGTACGCTTCACCTCGTTGCAAAACCAAAGCATTTTTAGTAATACGATTCCTACTTGCCTATTTCAAAAGTGACATTTATTTTTGAATAAGTATAAATCAAATTTATTGCAAAAGTATATTGTCTGATTATGCTCAATATTAGACCAATCATACTGCACTATAAGCCCACATGTCCCACTGATGTCTATCTAACGGGTTCCATGGACCTCATAAGTACCAGTCCTTTTGGTGCTTGCCAGTAGGGCAACGCGTTCGTGCTCCGTGGTACATATCCCCATCAAAATTGGGACCTTACTGGGGTTAACCTGTATTTTTCCTGAAAAGCACTGCTCAGAGTGAATGTTCAACAAGCCCACACTGTCAAAGTAATACTTGTAATGGGCTATATTTAGCCATTACAGGAAGCTATATATATACCTTCGGTATGCATCGTGGGATATGATAAAAAGAAGGGTACAGTATTTTGTTCCCAAGTGCATACGTGACATCTTATATGAAGTTACAAACATTCAGTGTGATACAGAATGCTAGTTCCTACTTGGGAATTGTACTGGTGACGAGACCGACGTGTCTCTGTCTTTCGGAGTCGGTAGCGCAAGCCAGTCACTTCTACTGGCTACTTTCCACGAAAGCTGAAATTTAAGCTGTGTATACCCAAGATCTTGCATATAGCTTGGCTCATTTGGATTCAGTTGTAAATTTGTCTTAAATGTCTAAAGTAGCTCTTCTTCCCCTCAAGTCTAGACTGTCTCTCTCCGAAATGAGAATTGCCGAACTACTAAACCCTAGTACACACACATTCTGAGGAAGGCTTAGGTCAACTTATACACCTCATCTCGTGTTGCTCGCTTCCAGCAAGATGTTGACTTACGTAGAAGGGAGGAAAGGTAAAGCTACAACTATTAGTATAGCCAATAAGCTTTTAACATCCCTACCCTGATAAGTACTCTCATTTCTAATACGTAGCGGGGTTACACTTACCCTTGTATGAAGGAGAGGGGTCACACATGATGATGTTACCGTACATAGGTGTGTATTACATAATTTGGTGAATTCACATAATGGTGTGGCTACAAGAAGCCGAATTGTCAGTAGTTATGCATATTAATCCGGTTTTTCTATTTAATCAGGAAAACCTACGGTTTTAGATATAGACGGCTCTGCCGCAAAAAAACCGATAATTTCAGTCTTAATTCGAACGGAAGAGTACATTGGGTTTCGGTTTTGGGTACTCTTGAAGTTAGCAGATCGCGATCCGCTCACTCGTCCTTTTCATACCAGGGTTACACTTCTCTTTCGAAATTTAAGACTATTTCTTTTAAGCAAGTGGTTCTAGTATAGAATGAAAGTCGGTGATCTAAAGTAAGCTTCCTTCAGGCAAAGAGCTAGGGTCGCCCAGCCAGACTTAGTAGCGCTCGTAGTCAATCTACGCCTGAGTCGTTACGACTGATCCTCTATGAGAATGGACCAATTCTCCTATTTGCCCCAGGGCATGCAGGTCGGGCTAATTAAGCTGACATCCCTGCTTAACCCTGAGGGCGTACAACACCTTGCTTCGCAAGGACCCGAAGCAATAAGCGCGCGTCTGGAGGTGTTTTCGAGTTATGATAATACTCTACTAGAACACCTGAAGCAGAAGATGTCGACGACGACTACATCCATGACGCCACCATCGACGACGGAAGACTCCTCCCGGCCCAGGCCGCTCATGGTGAACATGAAGACCTTCGAGGGTAAGGATGAGGAGAGTCTCCTGCTCTGGGTGAGAGGGGCCGAGATGGCTATGGCATCCACCATGCTCCAAAACCAGCCACAGCAGATGGCGCTAGTTATCTCCAAGCCCGGGGGCTAAGCGCTAGAATGGGCACTGACGTGCGGATTTCGGTTGGAGCGACGTTTCCCTCCTGGATAGAGCTGAAGCTGCAGCTTTCTCACCGCCCAATCTAGCATATTGCGTATGATCGAGATACCTTGCCGCCCGACAGGGCAAAAAAGAGTTGGTGGACTTTCTCCAAGAGTTGCGTACTGTCATTGCCGCGATGGCATCCGATAATCTCCCCGAGGCGGTCGCAGTGACCGTCTTTATGGAGAACCTCCGCACTGGCGTGGTCAGAATGGAAGTCTTCCGTGTACATCCGTCTTTTTTATAAGAGGCGGTGAATGTGGCAGCAAATGCCGAATTTAACTCTAACTCGACGCGATTTGGCTGGAATGCACACTCTCAGAGCTCGTTGAGGGGGCCTGAGCCAGTGAAACTCAGCTATGCAGAGAAAGAGGAGGCAGAGTTTCAAGCTGCCGGGCAGCGTTTGAACACCCGACGGGATTTTATTCGTGGAGACACTCACCACCTTCCGACTGGCTGTCCCCTGCGCAAGGCGCGTCAAGTTTCATCAAACCGCCGTCTCGCTTCTCACCAATCTTCTAACACCCAGCAGGCGCGGGGCACCCCCCTGGAGGAGAACTAAGTTCTGTTGAGCCTCAAAGAGGTAGAGGTCAGCAAGTCCTATGCCGGATGAGCTTCGTGCTCTTGAACACCGAATGTGTATACAATCCGGGCTTGCTGGTCGTAAAGCGACCGTGAAGGGCTTTGAGAAAATATAGAAGATCCTGATCGATTTCGGGTGATCGAGCCAATATGCTCGACGCTCCACAATCGGAGGGAGTCAGCTGTATGCCCCAGGCGCTGAAAGCACGGTTGAGTGACACCGTAATTGTTCGCTTCGCGACGTGGACTTGTATCACGGTGCCGAGGGTCCTGTAGACCTCAGTATCAAGTTTATTGACCTTAATTGCATGGAACGCGGCTTGGTCTTGGCTTGGATGCAAAATATGACCCTATCCTTGGTATGGTATGGTGGGAACACCCTGAGCCATGGATTGATTGGAGGTCGAAGATTTTGGGCGCTACGCGCACGTCTCCTGGTGGAGCTTTGGTGAGTCATGAACCCGCTTCTACTAGGAAGCAGAAGTGCTATTGGCACAGGCACTGAACTAGAATGGTCAATATGCAAGACATCGGAGTATCCGAGTTGTCAAACACTGAAGATGTTTTGGACAAGTGTCGCGAGCATGGCTCGCGGTCTGAACGTTGAGTGGCACATTGCCCACTCAGCACTGCTCAAGTATCAAAGCAGTTACTGCATGCCAAGAGTGGCATGGTCGGACGAGGTTCGAGGCATTGAGGGCGAAGGCCCAGTTATGCGAATGGAGTGGCACGTAATCCACTGAGCACTGCTCAAATATCAAAGCAGTTGCTGCATGCCAAGAGTGGCATGGTCGGACGAGGTCCGAGACATCGAAGGCGAGGCCCCAGCGATCGCGTGGATCGGCACGCTATCCACTGGACAATCGTCGGATGTTATTAATAACATCAGGGCTATGATGGAGCAGGGAGTGGGAACACTGGGCGAAGCTGAGTGCATGTTCCCACAGGTCTCGACGAGACGTAAAACCTCTATAGAGA